ACCTCTCTTGGCCTCCTCCATGCCAAATCGAGCAAGTACCTTATCAATATAAGTACTTTGAATCAATCCAATTATCCTTTTTGATCTAACCCTATAGATCTTGATGCCTAGTATATACTAAGCCTCTCCTAAGCCTTTCATGGAGAAGCATTTTCCAAGCCAGGCCTTTACAGACTCTAACAACGGAATGTTATTTCCAATGAGCAATATGTCATCGACATATAAGACTAAGAAGGCGATGTCACTCCCACTGACCTTCTTCTAAACACAAGATTCATCTAGATTCTTGATAAAACAAAACTTCCCGATGGCTTCATCGAATCGCAGATTCCAACTTCTGCTAGCTTACTTTAGTCCATAAATGGACTTCTTAAGCTTACAAACCTTCCCAGCATTGTTTTGGTCGACAAAACCTTCAGGCTGTGTCATGTACACAGTTTCTTCCAAAATACCATTTAGGAAGGCGATTTTGACGTCCATCTGCCATATTTCATAGTTATAATATGCAGCAATCGCTAGGAGGATCCGAACGGATTTAAGAATTGCGACTGGTGAAAAGGTTTCATCGTAATCAATACCATGAACTTGTTTGTAACCTTTTTCCACCAATCTAGCTATAATACCCCGTATTTTTATATTTATTTTATTTAAAATATGTATTTAATAAAGTATTTAAATAATTTTAATATTTTAATTATGGCATTTTAACTAATATTTTTATAAATGGAAAGTTTATTTAATTTCTTTATTTATAAAAGTTGGGGTTTTATTTTAAGAAAGTTTAATTTTAACAAGTTTTATTAGGGAAGGGATTAGGAAAAACTAAAAGAGGAAAGTTTAGGGAAAAAGGGATTGGTTGAGAAGGGGTACAAATATCCTACTTATGAGACAAATCAACTATGCCCAGAGTGGAGAAAACCCAAGGTAAACTTCTCTCTCTCCTCCTTATTTTTCCTTCTTTTTCTTTTCCCCCTTCCCCTTTCTTTTTTTTGACTTTTATTTGCTTCCCCCACCGCTCCCAGCCACCGGCAGTAGGTGACCGCCGCTGCCAGCAGCCGGCAGCCGGTGGCTGCCTTCTTTTTCCCTTTTTTTCGAGTGTATAAAAAAAAACTTAGCTTTATTATTTTAGTGTAATCTATGCTTAAATATAAGTGTAAATTATAAGTTTTGGGATTTGATTTTTGATGTTTGATTATAATTATTATGTCAATTAATTTTCAGATTTGATTTTAATTAAAAAAGCCCCAATTTTTTAAACCCTAGGTTCTTGATTTATGAATTATTGAAGGGTTATGATGTATATTGGTTTAGATCTTTGTTTTAAGTGTTTTAAGGCTTAATTACAGCAAGTTTTAATTAAACTAAAGTGCTGGAATTTTATGTAGAACACTTAATATTATGTTTCTTGAAGGAATTTTAATTACCCATTAATTGAGACTTAATTATGGTGTTTTAAATATAATTTCAGCTTACTTTAATTAAATTATGAGGGGTTTTAAAATAGTATATATATTGCTGGAAATTTGTTTAGAGTGGATTTTAATACTCTATTATGATTTTAATGTGTAGGAGACTTCGAAGTAAGCAATTTCTACTAGTCGTGGTAATTTTATGATCGTACTCAAGGTATGTTCGCGTACTTAACATATTTTGATGATGTAGAATCATGATAGGCTTGATTTCAATCAATTACAAGTAGTACCATGCTAAGGTTTATGTATGGAATTGTGAATTAATGGTGTTGGTGATTGAATTGTGAAGCATGAATTATTTGTGATGGTTTATGGATTGGAAAATTATATTTTGCGCATGTTGTGTTTGAACCGCACTTTTATTTATGGCATGCTAGAATGCATGATTAATTAAAATACATGTTTAATTATGTTTGGAATATTGAAAATGAATTTTATTATGGTTCAAATAATTTTTATTGATGCTTTAAGCATGAGGAAGGAACTATATAAGTGTCTATGAACACAAGGGATAAATTGTATGTTGGTGCCTTTGTGCACTTAAGGTGTTTTTAACACCGAGGGATAGGATTTTTGGCGCTTTATGCGTTTAAGGTGTCTTTGACACTAAGGTAGAATTAAAAAGGGTTCAACATTAAATAATATGTGGTCACTAATTATTCAAAATTAAATTGGTATGTTTGGTTGATTGAATAATTATTGTTGATTGATTTATTATACTTTGAGAGTCATCACCAAGTCCAATAACATGTAAATAACGTAAAGTGAAAGAGATTACGCACCAAAACTCTTGGAACGTATATATCTTGAGTATGAACAATGGGGGAAGATATGGGGTTTTATATTTAACCATAACTTCTAATGGAGTACAGGACGTTGTACATTCCTTTTTATTTATTATTATGCGCAGGAATTCCGCCACCTTTGAGTGGTTTTGTCGCTGGCACGGTTACCTCCCATGTTAGTTAACCTCAATCTATTTGGGGGAGGTATAGTTAGAAACCCGTTCGATGCGTAGTCAACGCTAAATGAATTATTTAGTGTCTAGTTAAAGTATCTTGTTGATTTTTGTGTGTGCTTGTAAACAGGTGCATTGAGGTAAGTGTGTGTTGATAGGTGAAAGCATGGTAGTGTGTTTAATTACGCTTATGTACTCAGCTTTGCTGATTGTGTGTGTTTGTGTGTTTGGCCATGTCTTTATCTTGGCCCTATGATGACCCATTTTTAATGGAGAGTAGTGGGGACAAGTAGAGATAAGCTTTTCAGGTATTGAAGCATATTCATGACGGGGCATGAATGAAGAGTGAATCATGCTAGTTTCCATTAGTTTGCGATGTGTTTTATGCTTTAATTATTTATGACATATTCTGTGTGGACTAACACAAAGGTTTGATTTTGGAGCGGTTTTGAATAAGGGCATTTAATGGTTCCAAGTTGTAGTTTGATTTTATTTGACTTTGTTTGTTTTGGTTTTAAACTTTACTTTCGTTTGGTTGACTTTTGAGTTGACTTGTTTAAACGGTTTTTAATTTTAAGTCTTCCGTTGTGTGTCTTTGATAGTTGCCTTAGCCGTTATCACGATGGCGATAATGTCTTAGATATTCCTAAATCGTATTTTAAAGAGTAAAGTGGGTATTTAAAGGAATGGAATTTCTAGGGTGTTACAAAGTGGTATCTGGGAGCTTTGGTTGAGATTTTAAATTACCACTAACCCAAAAACGTTTTTCTTACTATGATTTAAACTTGGCCAAGTGTTAATTTAATTATGCAATGTTATTTGTTCCGATTTTATTTCTTTTATTTTTTTTAGGGGCCGAAATTTTTTTTTTATTTTATTTTGGTCCGATTTATTTTTATTTTTTTTAGGGGGACACTCGAATTTTTTTTAGAGTGTCCGAATTTTTTTTTAGTAGGGCCGAAATTTTTGACCCTCTTCCCAGTAATTTCGAAAAAAAAAAATTTTAGCAGGGTAAAAATATTTTTAGTTTGTTAATTTTGCAGGAAGCAAGGATTGAGGTAAGAATTATGTGTTAAAATCTTTTATTAACATGTTGGTGAGCTTGGGTAGGAAAAGAAAGGGCATATAGGCTAGAATTTAATTTCTTCCCTGTGTGCATAATTTTATTTTGGGTGTTCAAGCATGTTGTATGACTAGATGTTTGTTGATGAAAGCATGCAATATGTGTATTATTTTATGTGATCCTTCAAAATTGCATGATTGAACATCGAACTTAATTTCCTACAAGACTGTATTATTTATTTTATTTTCTTTGGGAAGGGAATTCTTTTCTATGCCTTTTTCTCTACAGGATGCCAATCTTTCCTAGCAAATATACACAAATGGGATCACTTGTAAAGAAACATAATGAACACCCCTACGACTTTGTAGAAAAGATCAGATACGTTTGTTCCTACATGAGCAATGTCTTACGAGACAGAGTTTATGACACCCCTGATCGTATTTCGGCTATGATTGTCCATTGTCTTCCAGAGGAGCCTCCTTACATTGATGTTAAACAGAGATTTTCTGATTTTTACCTTCTAGGAGACATCCCAAATTACCATAAATACAAAGACTATTATGGCTAGTGGTATCCCGATTATGCTTTCTTGACTAAATATCTCGTAAGAGTGGAAAAAGCTCATTGTCAGCACTTAAATCTTCCCTACCCTGACTACTACTACGATAATCCAGTAGGGAACAATCCTCCTCCTAATCAACAACCAGGAAATTCTTCTTCTTCGCCGTCAGGGGGTAGTTAGGCAGAAAATGGAGAACAACAAGAGGGAGATAGTTCACTTATGGAGATTTCTAATCCTAATCCACCTCCAACTCCAATAATAATAGATATTTCATCGGATGAGGAGGCAGAAGGGGAGTTTGTACAAGTAGAACCCGAACCTGAGTCACCTGAACCAATGGAGGAGTCAAATGATTCTGATTTCGATCTTTCAAGCTACAAACAATCTACTGACAAAAGGGACAACGTTCGAAAGGATTAGATTTTATAACTTTCCTCGTCATGAATTCACAGTCTTTATTTCAGTTATTATAATTATTTTAGTTTTAAATTAATAAGTGGCATGACCACATAAGTTTCTAGAAAAAGAAGTTATTTTAGTAATTTCAGTCTATTTTAATTAATAAGATCTCAATTACTTCTTTGTCAAAATTTTTATATTATTAATAAATAAATTTATTTATTTTCCAAATCTTCCATTCAACATCACTATTCTAATAGCCAAAATTCCAAGCAAATTAATTCCAATTAATATTTCTAAGCTATGGGAATTATTATTTTTTTATCTATGTGATGCTTTATTAAATGTATGGTTGGTTAGAAATCAATAATTGATTGACAAAGCTACAAATTTAGGGAATTCTTAGCTTTCGATATCCCAATTTGTTAGCTTCAAATTTTACTATGAATGTTTAAAGGGTGCTAGGTAATAGATGGGTGTATTTCTTGAGAACTAACCATAGCCATTTCTAATATAGACCCTTGTCCTTAATTCAGGAGAAGCAAAATGGCAGGGGGGAGAAATTCTAGTAATGGTGGAAACGATTTGAATGAAGTAGTGAGGCAATTGGAAGCATTTGCCCAACAATTGGCAAGAAACTCAACTGGTAATGGGGATGCTCAGGGGGAGCTCTTTAAAAAGGTGGCACAAAGTAAGCCACCAACATATCAAGGGGAGCCTGATCCTGCCATATTGGAAAACTGGTTGAGGGAATTTGAGAAACTATTTTGAGCTGTGGGATGTCCTGAAAACTCAAAAGTGAGTTGTGCTACTTACTATCTGAGGGGTGAAGCTGACCTTTGCTGGCAACAAAATGAGACTACCATTAGAGCGCTACCTGGGTTCAATTGGGCTGAGTTCCAAGAGAAAGTGAGAGACAAGTTTTATCCTAGCTTTTTGCAGAAGCAGAAAGCTGAGGAATTCTCAAACCTTAAGATGGAAAAGATGTCAGTTACGGAATACTACACCAAGTTTATTGAGTTGTCCCGTTTTGCTGAAGAGTTTGTTGCTACAGAGAAAGCAAAGGCTAGGAAGTTTGAGAGTGGTTTAACTACTGATTTGCAGTTAAAGCTGTGCGGGCAAGTATTTGAGACCCTGGATAAAGTATATGGAAGGGCCGCATACCTTTATGCGTTGGAGGAGAAGAAGAAGAAGAAGAAGAAGAAGAAGAAGAAGAAGAAGAAGAAGAAGAAGAAGAAGAAGAAGAAGAAGAAGAAGAAGAAGAAGAAGAAGAAGAAGAAGAAGAAAGAAGAAGAAGAAGAAGAAGAAGAAGAAGAAGAAGAAGAAGAAGGAGGAGGAGGAGGAGGAGGAGGAGGAGGAGGAGAAGAAGAAGAAGAAGAAGAAGAAGAAGGAGGAGGAGGAGGAGTTAGCTGAGATAGAAGGAAGAGAGAAGAGGAAGGAAATGGGGTAGTTTTCTGGTAACCAGCAGGGAAACCATAATGGTTTTAAAAAGCAGAAGTACCACCATAACAATAACTTTCACAACAATAATAACTTCCAGGCACTACAACAATTCACCACTTGTGCCACGAATTATGCCACGGGAATTCTAAATTCGTGGCATAATTTGATCTTGCCACGGGAAAAAATTAAATTCAATAATAAACTTGATATGACAACAAATATTATGTCATGGGAAAAATGATGTTCGTGGCTAACTGAAACTAGTGTCACGACTATTTTTTTCCCGTGGCAAATAAACACTTAAGCCACACGTATTTATATTCCCGTGGCAAATAGACAGTGATGCCACGACAATATTATTCTCGTGGCAAACAAACACTTGTGTCACGGGTATTTTATTCAATGTGACAATCATTATAACACTTATGCCACATCAAAAGTTATTTATGTGGCAAACATATGTTAATATAAACCGACCATATTTCTTTTAAAGAAAATAAACTTAGTCTAATGATAGAAATCTTACGACAAAATTTCTTTTATTATGGTTAAATTTACAATTAGTTTCAAACATGAAATACAAATTAATAAGTAAAAAAAAAATTGCAAATTCTTTCAAATAAAATTGCTGGTTATGCACTATTATAAATTTATAACCATATGAAATTTACCCAAATAATATTCAAATAAATTTGTATAAAAAATGTTGTATCTTATAATTATTGATTATTTAAAAAAAACAATGTAGTGTAAAATGGCCAAAAAATATTTTGTTTTGCATTTTATTATTATTAATTTTTGTTTTTTTTTAAATTGCATTTTTTAGAACATTAGCTTAGTCTTGTCAAATTGATGAATATATTTGACATGAAAAGTCATATGTTACAATAATTCTGAACAAGTAGAGCTAAACCAATGCAAAATACACTAGTACACTTGCTACGGTTTTATTCAAGCCTTTTGCTCTTGTTTTGAACCGCAAAACTAGGAGTAATACATAGCCATAATACCACCAAAACCATCCGTGATCACTACCCCAAACCACACCCAATGTCACCTACCAAGGCATCATCAACATTAACCTTTAAGAGTCCTGCATATGTTGTCCAATCGAAAGCAGCCTTCCCTGAACCAACAGCAGCAGCACAGCAGAAAACAGGCTTGGAATTTCCAGTCTTTATAGCATAGCTCAGCACTTCCCTATAGTCCCTACACTCCTCCTCCATGATCTGAGAGTTCCTAGCACCATAAATAGCCCAGCAAATGGCTATAAAGTTTGCTACATCACACTCATCCATCTTCAAAAAACAGGATTCCTTAATCCTTCTTCCCTTCCCACCTAATACAATCAATCAAAATAACAAAATCAGAATCAAAGAATTGAAAAAATCGAATCCAAAACACAAAAGGGGTAAATTACGAAGAAGATTCTGGATACAAGTAGCCCTAATGATGATCAACGTGCACATAGGAGTGACCCTAACTTCGCCACCAGAGTAGCTATCTTCAGTGAGTTCTCTCTTGAATACTTTATTTAGTTCAGCGTAAATGACACCATCAGCACCGAACTTCCGGTTCTTGCTCATCTGAGTAGCAATTGTAGCAGAAACCAACTTGTTTTCGTAAAAGACCCAACAATATAGCACTCCTGAAATGAACCAACCATGAATTTCATAACTGAATTTCAGAACTAATTTCAGATCACAATCTCTCAACTGATTTCAGAACACCGTCTCAGAACTGAATTAGAAATAATTATCAGGACTTATTTCAGAGCTGAATTTCAAAACTACTGATGTCAATATCAGCAAGACATTAGCAATACTGAATCCACAACTACTGATGGCTCTATATATGGACTGGTTTATAGCATAAATTTTAGGACTAAATAATCTGCTTCTACCTCTACCAATATAATCCATGATTATGGTGTAACAAGCACCAAACATAACAAAATTGGTAAAAAAGAAAATGAGAGAAACAAACACTCAAATAATCTACTGCAAGAAAATGCAAAAAATTAGAACCAACCATCCAAAACAATCTGATCGTTGAAACCATTAATTCAATATGATCATTTTCCAGATTTATCATACAATGAAAAAAATAGGAGAGAGGAAGAAGATTAATTTATTTTGCTGCTTTCAATAGATTGAAAAACAAATTGGAAAAGAAAGAGCCTATTGGTAAATTTGCTCTTAATTCGTGTATTGATTGAATATCAATAAAATCAATTTCAAAACATCCAATTACAAATAATCTCATTTGTGCTATTTGATTGAATTGACTCAATTTCATTCGTGGTTTTGCACTGAAAAATTATAAGTGAATTATGGGCAAAATTTGAAATTAACTCAGTTGAAACTTAGGAGAATATATAAGGATGAATAAATTAAAGAGACAAACCCTAGATTGTGAAATTGTTAGCATCAAATTAACAAGATAGAAACCCTTAATTTCATATTATTATCATCAAATTAACGAGATTAACCTTATATTGTGAAAATTGATGTAGGATGAATAGATAAAGAAGCAATATCTTACCTTAAAAGTTGTTTCAATGGAGGAAATCAAGAGAGGAAGCCACCCAAATGGAGACCGTGGAAAGCTGATGGAGAAAACGCTTGTAATCGGTAGACAATAGAGAATGGAAAATGGAGAATATGGTAGACAACCGAAGAACAGGAGGGAGTAGGATTTTATTTATTTATTTTTTTACGATATTTATTTATTTATTGTTGGAGGGAATTTTTCACTAGTTGATAAATTTTTGGAGGTAATTTTCCCACAAATTTTGTTGGAGATAATTTTCCCACAATTTTTTTTTTTTTATCAAATTTAGGAGGTAAGTTTCCCTCCTAATTTTCACTTGTAGCTTTGTAAAATTAAATTAAATTTTTGTATTTTAAGATTAGCAATTCTAGGCATTTACAAATTCCAATAACTCCATTTGTAAAATTATAATTCTATATTAGAATTATCAATGAATAAATATAAGAATTGAATTGCTAACAAATTTATTACATTAGTTTTGTGGTCTTGTAATATAAATGATATAATTGAATAGTATATGTGTGCGCGCGCGCGCATAGTTGCAAAACTGCACATCAAGTGAGCTATACTAGAGATTAAACTATTATATAGCTGATAGCTCGATTAGTTTTACTTTAATCGTATTAAATTTGAATTCACGTAGCTTATCTCGAATTGAATACCCTTATTATGAATTTGGCATGATAAAAAATAATTGGAATTGGCTTGTTAAAACATGCTTTTAAAAATAAGATAAAATTACTCTAATAATCTTATTTGTTAGTCAACTTTAATGGGATTGTTAAGACAACATTTGCCTATTTTGATTAAGGAATTAAAAACTCCACCTATTTCAAATTTGAATGATAATATATTTCTATATTTTTTTATTATAATTTACAAAATCTTAGATAAACCACAATATATATTTACTTGAGAAGACATTATGTTATTATTAGAATTGTTTATTAATGTAATAATAATTTCTTAATACTTATGACTAGTTTGTTGTCAAGATAACTAACATATCAAGTTGTTTTAAATATAATATTCTCTACACTTGTTAGGTTATATAAATATGCATTCAAATTTGTCTATTTATATGATTGTTAAATGTAGTAAAACACAATTACTGTACTAGTATACAAGGTTATAATACATATAGCCAGTGGCAGATCCAAGTTGACGCCTGGGGGGCACGTGCTACCCCTCCCAAAAAAAATAAAAAAAAAACTGTTTTTATGAAAAAAACGCACATTAAAATTATATAAAGATTACAATCTGTATGTATGATAACTATTTTCAGCATTGCTTCAGTGGTAGAGGGTTGTAAGGAGAGTCATATTTGTTTTCAAGGTCAAGGGTTCGAGACCTCTTAGCAGTTTTTTTTTTTTTTTTTTTTTTTTCCTTCTTTAACCCAAATGAATTTCCACTTTCCTCTACTTTCATCAACACAAGGATAATCTAGTACTATGTTTCCAAGATATTTTTTTTTTCCTTTTAATTTTTACACCTTTTATAAACAATCCTTATATTAATTTCATTATATAATATTTATTGCATTATATTTGGCCATTATTATATCTTGTTTATATTAGTATGAAAATTTGATGACATTCTTCTCAATTTCATTATATAATATTTATTGCATTTATTTGGCCATTATTATATCTTGTTTATATTAGTATGAAAATTTACCCTAAAATTAATATAAAAACATACTCCATCTATGTTTAAGTAAATGAAATGTTTTGACTTTTAACACAAATAATCTAATTCACTCTTACTAATGTTTGTGATTTATACATTAGAATATATATAGTCATGTGGATATTTGTTGGAATCGTCTCAACGAAAAATTTATTAATATTCAATTGTTATAATTTTTATTATTAAAGATATTTTCAGTTAAAATTTACATTAGCATAGGTGCACAAGGTAAATTTATAACAAAGTTTTCTGTAAATATTCATATGCAACTTTGACTTACAAAATAAAATAATAAATAGGTGACCAATTTATCATAGTATAATCGATATCTAGAATTTAAATTGTTTGGAAAAAAATAAAAAAAAAAAAAACTTGTCAAGATAAATGGTTGAATTTGATTGTTAATTATAATACGACTTACAACGCACGCATTTGTTTGGCTGATTATATTACGTTGCGTTACACCAATTTTATATTTTTTTAATTGTCCAGTGCTACCCTTAGTTAGAATTCCTGGATCCGCCACTGCATATAGCTTTTGTTCGTATCAACTCAAAGTTCAAATTATTAAAAAAGTTTTTTAAAATGTAACATAGACTTACTTAGTTACATGTGGAGCAGTCAAAAGTTGACTCGACTCGAATATATTAATCGAACCTAATTATGAGCCAACCTATTTGAACTCAAGAAAATGATGACCTGAACCTAATTTGAACTTAAGAATGACCTAAACTCGTTTTAACTCATTGAAACCCAAATTAATCTCGACTTATTACCTATTATTCTACCCAATTTTAAATTCACATTTTGTTGATGACCTAGATTGAACCTAACCCGAATCTAAGAATAATACTAACCGTTTATGACTTGAACTGATTATAATGACCCGATAATTTTTAACTGGCCAGAACCAACCCATTTGTTATTTGAACCCGTTATAACCCGAAATTGATAAACCTAATCCAAAACAGAACCGTTGACCATATTGACATCCATATATATAATGGAAAATTTAAGATTATAAATCTGAACTTTGCGCGGTCTGAAATAAAAAATCCGAACTTTTGATTATTCTATAAAAATCCGAACTTTGATACCCATTGACTTTTAAAGGTTCCAAATGATTGGTGACCTGAAGAACAGGTTAAATTTTTTTAATACTTTTTCATTTGCCACATGTCACATTTTAAGTGGTCCAAAAATAAAAAAAAATCAGAAAAAATAAAAGAAAATAAAAAAAATCAGAAAAAATCAAAGAAAAATAATAATAAAAAAAAAAAAAAACCGAAAACCCCCCAAACCCCAGCCACCACCCCTCTACCCCACGGTCGATTTGGGGGTTTTCGATTTAGGATTTTAGGGGGTTGTTTAAGGGGAGGAAGGGGGTGGGCATGGCAGGGGGTGGGCATGGCAGGGGGTGGGCCGAAAACTACTCGCCGGCGCCGGGGAAGGAGTTTCGGCGCCGGCCGTGGGGAAGAGGGAGTATTTCGAGGGAGGTTATGGGTTTTGAGGGTTTTTTTGTGGTGGTTATGGGGAAGGGGGAGGCTGCCGTGGAGGGGTGGGGCCAGGGGTCCCCATCGCCGGCACTGGACGGTGGCATGGGTGGGGGTACGGCCGGCGGGGGGTGGCGGTGGCTAGGGTTTGTGGGGTTTTTCATTTTTTTTTTCTGATTATTTCTGATTTTTAAATTTTTTTTATCGTTTTTTTATTTATTCTGGACTTTTTTTTATTTTTTTTTTAGACCACTTAACATGTGACACTTGGCATATTAACCTAGAGTAGCAGGTTTGGTGACCTGTTGGGTCCTCCAAAAGAAAATAGACATCAAAGTTTGGATTTTTACAGAATAATCAAAAGTTCGGATTTTTTATTTCAGAACACACAAAGTTCGGATTTATAATCTTAAATTTTCCTATATAAAATAGTTTAATAGATAGATAATTTTTCCTCATACCCCAAAAAAAACTATTAAGTATCAATTAGACGGCTTATTTTAAACAAAAACAAAAATGTCACACAAATCCCCAAAAAAAAAACATAATTATACTTATAAATGTTCTTATTATACTTATATATACTAGTGTTTAGGCCCGGGCGATGCCCCGGGTAATTTCATAGGATTAATTATTAATATACATTTTGAATTATGACTCAATTTTTTTGTAATTAAAGTTTTAATTCATATTATCATTCCCTATATTAATATTTTGTAATATAAAGATAACATCAAAATATTGTATAGCTTGGTGGTAAAACATAAGGTTGCGGGAATATAAGGTTGCGTGTTCGAATCTTGGTTTAAACATATTTTAATTATAAGTGTATGGTTGTGGCAAGTGGGTAATATGGTATAATGAGAATGTGATTAGCTGACATGGCGTTGATGTGGCATATTGAGAATTTGATTGGATAACGTGGCGTAATAAAGGGGACTACGTGGCACATAAACTTTCTTAGGAACGCTTTTTAATATATAAGTATAGATATAGATTACTATAAATGTTCCTTTACTATAAAGGAAAAATTAGAAATAATAATCCCAACTTTCATCAATTTTGTTAAAATAATCCCAACTTTGGATTATTCTGGAATAATCCGAACTTTGGGGGTTCCTTTTTTTCTTCAATCCCAATAACCAATGACCGGTTGAATGGGTTATTTTTTTTTGTTTTTTAAAGTGACACGTGTCACAACTGAATTGGCTAAAACAAAATTTATAAAAAAGTTGAAAAAAAAAACAACCAAACACCAATAAAATCCCAGCCACCAGCACCCCAAAACCACCGACCAACCCCAACAACAACTAGGCCAACCCCAAACGGCGGCGCTAATTCCCCTCCCCCTACGCCGGTTTCCCCTTCCCCTTCCCCTGCGACGGTTACCCACTCGCCGCTTTCCCCTTCCCCTTCCCCGGTTTTGCACTCCCCGGCCCATTCGTTGCTTAAAACCTCCTCTCCCAAGCCCGAAAATCCCCAAAAATTCCTCCCCACCGTCGAAAACCCAAGCCGTTTAGGGTTTCGGGGTGGTGGGAAGAACAATTAGGGGGGTTTTGGTAGAAAGGAGGGGTTTCGTTGGTGGATTTGGGGTTTCGGGGTGGTGCATTCGAGGTTTTGGTGGTGGTTTCGTGGGGAATGGGGGGTGTTTCGGGGAGGGAGGAAGACGGCGACGCGGTGGAGGTTGCTTCACGTGGATGGCCGGCGACTAACGAGTGGCAGGCTGGCAGTGAGGTGGTTGTTAGGGTGGGCCGGTGGAGGAAGATGAGGCTGACTGCCTGGTCGTTGGTGATTTTTGGGATTTTTGTTTTTTTTTTTTTAATTTTTGTAATTTTTAAATGTTTTGGACCAATCAGGGCTTGACACGTGTCAAGTGACCTGATATAATAGGTCATTGACTTTTGTTGACCGGTTTGGGATTGAAGAAAAAGAGGAGTCCCTAAAGTTCGGATTATTTCAGAATAATCAAAAGTTAGGATTATTGTAACAAAATTGATGAAAGTTGGGATTATTTTTTCTAATTTTTCCTACTATAATTTCAAATTATACAAATAAAAGTGTTTCTTTTTTTTGGTGTTCTACCTGGTTCACCCTTTGGGATGATCCGGATTCGGGGATCAGTTCTGGGTTGTTAGGTTCCAGTCTGATGGGCGTTAGGACGGTCGCACATTCCACACTCAATCAAATAAATTTA